ACAGCTAAAACGAAACAAAAACGAAAAAAATATTGTGATTACTTAAAACAAGGAGTCCAGCACATCTCACCACTGAAAGATGCCACCATATCTAAACATTATAAGTTGCTGTGCTGAAATATAAAATATACTTCAGAAGACTAAGGAAGCATTAAAAAACGACACAGTGGAATTGGGTCGTTTATTTCCTCCAGTAATTATTATATTTAAGCTTACAGGCCTAAAGAGTAAGAGAATGAACAGAAAGATGAACTACACATCTTTCTACCCCACAAAACAAACTTAATTCATCTTCAGTTCGCCCAACAATTATGGGAATTATTTACAGGTGTAGTTTAGAGAGTTTTTAACTAATTAACTGAACTTGATAACGCAGAGCTAATTCACCTCAAGCACCGTTTGTGCCTCTTACAAAGTGGGGCTCTTCAGTGTCCAAATGCTTAGGCCCTAATAATTTTTTTAGTCTTGTCAAGAAGTTTCTTTATTGTTTCTGCTGCAACAAATGTAACATGGCTACCACACTGGAAGGTTGGAGCCACTGTCACCTAAGAGTGCGTTCTTATGAGCACCCTTCCCTTTTTTGGGTGCTGTCGTGCTGAACAGGAAGTATACAAAGTGGTATCTCCCCTCACCACAAAATGGGAACTGTGGTGTAGTTAGTTAATTTTAGGCTTTCACCAGGGGCAGGCAGGGTTCACTTTGGATCAGGTATATGGAACCTTTCACCTTCTGGATATTGCTGAACTACAGCTCCTATCACCCCCAGCCTTTGGGCATGCTTACAAGGGCTGATGGAAGTTGTTGAGCAACATATGGAGGGCCAAAGGTTCCTGACATCTGCTGTGGATGGTAATGTGTATTACTTCACCTATTTTAAATACAGTGATACCTCGAGTTACAAACGCTTCAGGTTACAAACTCAGCTAACCTGGAAGAGTTACCTTGAGTTAAGAACTTTGCCCCAGGATGAGAACAGAAATCATCATCATCAAACCTTTATTGGCATCACTTACAAACATTCAGAATAAATAGGCCAATGCAATCTCGTCGCCATTTCAACAGTATAATCATTTGCCAAAGGGAAGAAGAGGCGAGCGATCTATTTCACCTCTGAGGGTCTCCAGCAAGGGCAGGGTCCTGTAGCATACTTCGGCGGCAAAAAATCAAATAGAGGAACTTAGCTACTGTCTTGGTGAGCTCCTGGTCTCTCCCCTGTAATAAGAAGCGTATAACCTCTGTCTCTGGTTTCCTCATTGGGATACATAGATGGTCTAAGAATTGTTGGCGGAGATCAAGAACGGAAATCGTGTGTTGGTGGGGCAGCGGCAGCAAGAGGCCCCATTAGCGAAAGCACGCCTCTAGTTAAGAACAGTTTCAGGTTAAGAATGGACCTCCAGAACGAATTAAGTTTGTAACTATAGGTACCACTGTATAGTATAGTAAGCCAACCCTGCTGTATTCTGCTCAGTACGACCGTCAACCTCTGCCCCAAAGCCCTATCCTTAATGCACCAGTGAACTTGAATAAGAGAAAATGGATCCATTAGGACAAACGACACATTACCCCACCAACCCCAGGCAGCCCCCTCTCCCGCCTTCTTACTTATAGCCAGTCCCGTTGGGTTGACCCTAGCTGTCAGCTTCCTCCTCCTCCTCAATCTTAGCATTGCCCCTTGTAGAACCTAGCAGTGAGGAGAAGGAGGAGGATGGAGACAAAACTTGAATTACTTGGCTTTGCCTGTCATTGGCTCTGGCTCTGTTTGGGCTCCCTACTCTCCACCCTGCTAGTCCACCAGCCATCATTGGTGGGAACCATGTCACTCAGAATTTTAGGCAACATTTTGCTGAATTTAACTTTGCCACTTGGGCGTACCATTTCGGGAATGGACTGGATGAGAGCCAACAAACCGTTGCTCGGTCCAGATCAGACTGAGGTACTGATCTAGAATAGTGTTAGCCTAGAGTGGATGGATGGGAGCAGGTTGTTTGCTCTTGATGGGATTACACATCCCTCTGAAGGAGCAGATATGCAGCTAGGGGTTACTTCTAGTTCCTTTACTGTTGCTTGAGGCTGAAGTGGCCTTGGTGGCACAGAGTGCCTTCATCAGCTTTGGTTGGTGGCCCAGCTACACCCCTATCTGGACAGGGATAGCCTAATGTCTTTTGTCTATGTTCTGGTAACATCTAGGTTAGATTACAAGAATGTGTTATCCATGGGGCTGCCTCTGAAGACTGTTCAGAAACTTCAGCTGGTGCAGAATTCAGCAACCAGGTTGCTTACCAGGACAGGACGGTTTGAGCATATAACACCAATCCTGGCCTGACTGCGCTAGCTGCTAATTAATTTCCAGGCCCAATTCAAAGTGCTGCATTTGACCTATAAAGCCTTAAACGGCTCAGGACCACAATACCTCAAGGATCGCGTCTCCTCATATGAAGCTACCCAGACCTTTCAATCATCATAGGCTCTTCTTTGTGTGCCTTCTCCATGAGAACAGGCCTTTTCTGCAGTGGCTCCCCATTTGTGGAATTCTCTCCCCAGGGAGGCTCACCTGGTGCCTTCATGACATATCTTTAGGCAGGGGTGGAACTAGGCTCTATTTCACCTGGGTCAGAGACCCGGTTTGCCACCCTCCCCCATGCACATTTGTGCACGCACGCATACATAGGCTGGGAGCCTCAATGGCACCCCTCTGGAGGCTTCACCTGGGGCAAAAAACCTGGCTGCCCCCCTCCCCCGGTAGCTAGGGCTTTGCTTTAGGCACCAGGTGAAAACATTCCTCTTCACCCAGGACTGGGGCTGATAACAACCAATGGCCTTTTAAACTGGGTCGGGTGGGGTGTTATTGCTTTGTTTGTTATTATGTTACCTATTTTTGTGTGGTTTTTTTTTATAGTGTAAACCGCCCTGTGTTTCTTGGATGAAGGGTAGCATATAAAATAAACAGACAGACAACTAATACCCCACACATTCTTTATGTGTGGGACTAATGAAGGTCAGAAAACTTGCCAGCCACTTTGCAAGGATTGGGCTGGTCAAATGGGTGCCTCTCAGTCCCAGACAGCCACTCTGTGTATGAACATGCCCTAAGAATGGGCACAAGCAGGACAGAGCTGAACAAGATCAAATAGTCAATCTAAAGAGCTGCGGAGTCTCTTAATTAAAAGAAGGGTAGAAACTTCTGAAGCTTTGCTCGCTTGCTTTTGCCACATTATTGAGCTTCCATGTCATTCTCGCTACAGCCCCCCACCCTGCCAGCAGCTCTGTGAGAAGAGGACTATAAAGGTGCTCCTGGTGTAGATGATTATTTTAAATTGTTAGCCAAAAATAGTTTATAGCATGTAGAACTCCCTGGAACGTGGAGTGCCTGGAAGTTTGGGTAGTAAAGCAAGTGTTTCACAGTTTGTTTTATAACTCTAGTATTATAGGTTAAACTTGCCTGCTTTTAATCCTAGGTGTCATAAGCAGTGTGCCATTTCCACAGTTTCACAGCAACAATGATAATTGGAAGCACGGCAGATTCAGGTTTCCTTGAGATGGTGATTCTATAAGGCTGAAAAACGTCACATGCATTTTGACAGCAACACAATTTATAGCTGTGGAGTGCACTAAATAAAATATTGTGTGGCTATTTACATATAAAATACATGTCTGAAGGGAAGGCTTGTTGGGAAGGGAAAAGGGCTTTTGACACATGGTTTGCTGAGTCTGCATTAATATACGTTAATTGGTCCTTTATGATATATGGTACTTTCTATATAGGGTCATGCTAGGTTTGATGACTGGGGCGATTTTGTGCAGTGCATATTCACAAGGTGTTTGCCAATATGGGTCCTTGTGTGGCTGATTGCTGCACATTTTGGAGGAGTGGCATGCTCACACCTGTCTGTGTACAATTTGCCAAATGGCTACTATGCAGGGGTTCCAGAGAAGCTGCTTTGTATGTGCAGATGTGTACAGCTGTCTGTGCAAAAGCAGTTGTGCACTGTATATGGAGAATCCCACTTACAAAGGAAGTGTAAAGCATGCTGTCTGCTGTAAAGAGAGGAGTAATAAGGCAAAGAGTAAATTTCTACGCTGTGCTTGTGACTAACTCGCTTCCTTCCTGCAAATATGAAATCAGTGGCACCTTCAGCATGTCTTTAGATCACACCTATTTGTCTTGATCGGCCTTACAAATAAGTTTATACAATTTATTTCTCTCTCCCCATTTTACTAACCCAAGTGCCTAAATATCCCTTAGTTAGCCACATGTCAGCAAAAAAGAAAATCAGCCTTTACAATGCTTCCCTACCTGGTTGCCTGGAGTTAATTCCAAACTTGCTGCATGTGACCAACAAATGCATAAGATAGTGGCTTTGGGCACTGGCGGAGGAAGAGGCGTGCGGGGGGTGGGAGCATACTGCCCCCAGCAGCGTGATCCCGGAGGTGTGCCATCACGGCTGCTCCCCCTGCCCACGTTGGGCGCCATGCCCCTACGAGCTGCGCGCCACGCCCCTGCCTGCTCTCCGTCCCCCGGTGCCAGAGCATGAAGCTCCGCCACTGGCTTTGGGTCTGCATACAGGGCCTTCCAATGTATACTCAAAGATTATAGGAGCAAGATTTCACCTATTTCTGTCAACATCAGGGGATGTTCCCACCCTGTTGCAGTCTTGATGCGTGAAACTTTTTCCCACTGAAGTAGAAAGAACAACAATATTGCAGAATTTGTGTGTGTTTTTGTAGCTTTGGATTGAGGCCATTGTCTTTTACTGTTTAACTTAGGGAGGTTATCTTGATGGGTTTTACACTAGGCTTTTCAAAAGCAGGGAAATATTTAACTTCAAAGTATCCTTCTGGGAGTCCATCCACCAAATAAAATCCTCTCCACTCCCCACTCTTTAAAATGCTGTCATGTCAGTAACGGTTGGTTCCCTTCTGGGAACGGCATGCTCAGCAATCTTAGCAAGGCTGGAGAACAATGGGGAGTCTTCTAATAGCGTGATGCAACCTCCCACGTTGGAGAAGCTCTGTAGTTCAGTGGCAGAGCATCTGCTTTGCACGCAGTGGCACTTGGAAGGTCCCAGGTTCAGTCCCTGGCATCTCCAGGTAGGGCTGGAAATGTCTCAGTCTGAAACCCTATACCATGTGTAGGCAAACTAAGGCCCAGTCACTTTCTAAATCCGGCCTGTGGACAGTCCGGGAATCAGCATGTTTTTACATGAGTAGAACGTGTGCTTTTATTTAAAATGCATCTCTGGGTTATTTGTGGTGCATAGGAATTCATTCATTTTATTTTTTTCCCCAAAATATAGTCTGCCCCCCCCACTAGGTCTGAGGGACAGTGTTTTGGCCCCCTGCTGAAAATGTTTGCTGACCCCTGCCCTACACAGTGGATCCTCATGTTACGTACTGCCCTCCTTATGAATGCTTCAGGTTACGAGCTCCGCTAACCCAGAAGTAGATGCTCCCGGTTGCAAACTTTGCCCTGGGATGCGAGCGGAAGTTGTGCTCCGGTGGCGGGGCAGCAGCAGGAGGCACCATTAGCGAAAGCGCGCCTCATGTTAAGAACAGTTTCAGGTTACAAATGGACGAAGGAACTGTAGAGAGGCTTCTGAGCTAGATAGACCAGTGGTCTGTTAGCTTCCTATGCTCCTTGGAAACAATGCCCCAGTGTATTTAGACAGCTACTCAAACGTAACCCTGCAAAAGCACCCAGGTGAAGAACGCATGACCAAAATGGAAAAAAACCAAAAAACAAAAACACTTCCAATGCCTACCTAAAAACCATCAGGGATGAGGCCAGTTATAGTGTCTCTAGAAAAGTCTCTAGGAAAGTTCATTATGGGGCTGCTGCCACAGGCCCTGTCTTGATTACCCTGACACTAACTACAACTTTCTTTAGACAGTGGGACAAAAACAAACAAACCCAAGGCCTCCAGTGATTATGAGCGTAACAAACTGGCCAGTTCACATGGGAAAAGGTGGTCTTTCAGATACCCTAATCCAAAACAGTGTAGGGCAGGCAGGGCAGGCGAGTCTTTGGCCCTGAATTCCCATCAGCCACTGCCAGCGTGGCCAGTGGCGTGGGATGATGGGAGTTGTAGTTCGGCGACATCTGGAGGGCCAATAGTTCCCCAGCTCAGATGTATAATAGATCCGAGGACCAATACCTTGATTTGTGCATTGCACTTGACTCCATTGTCCCTTGAGCTGCATTTTGAAAACGCAGAGCAAACACACACACACACACACACACACACACACACACTCAACTTGCACAGTTATGATGGGGCTGCTGACTAAAACTTATGTTGGGGAACCCCCCCCCTCCATATGTGCTTGCTTTCACAACTGCTTCCTGGCCTCTTCCCATCTTTGATTCTCATTTCCTTTCTTAAACATGGCAGGTGGGGTGTGGGGTGGAGAAAGGCAAACAGCACAATCCAAGGCATATTTGCACAGAAAGAAAAGTCACCGGGTAGCAAGCATGTCTGAGGACTGCAGCCAACACTTTCTCAGGCTGTGTGCTCTGAAGTCTGCCCCATTGAAGTGAATGGGATTTGTCCGCTGTAAACCTAGATTGAAGACTGCAGCAAATGCCTGCCTATCGTATTGCATGCTTATTGACAGCCAAACTTGTTAACTTTATTTTTTAATAATAGAAAGTAAGGAGAAGGAGGGGCTGCTTTTGAGGGGTAAATGGCCCCCGCCTGCTCTCTCCATAGCCAAAGGGGTGAGCATTGAAATTCTCTAAACTGGAACTCCTCCTGTTCTTGCAAAGATTAAATTAAATTAACCCCATCCCCCATCCTTTCCTCCCTCCCCTCTGCTCCCCCTTTCTCTTGGGTCAAATCAAATTTGTAGTGTCAGGGGCTTTAATCAACCTCTGTGAATGGTTGGAGACCACATCAGCCACCCAGAAAGAGTGAGTGGGGGTTGGAACATTGATTTGAAGAGGAAATTGCATCTGGCTGTATAGATCCACATTTGGAAATCGGCTCAGCAGAAAGCAGCGCGCACATACAAACACACACACACACACACACACACACACACACACACACCCCACGCACACTGCAGCATGTGCCTGAAGCTGCTTCTCGACTCATTTTTCCCCCTCTGAAACCTCATTAGGAAAATCCAAGAACTGTTTCACCTTGTGAGAGGCTGATAAGGAAGGGCCCTAGCTTAGTAGTAGAGCACCTGCTTTGCATGCAAAAGGTTCCAGGTTCAATCTCTGGCATCTCCAGGTAGGATTGGGAGGCACCCTGGCTGAAACCCTTGAGAGCTGCTGCCAGCCAGTGTCTATCATACTAGCCAAATGGTCAGGCTCAATGTGAGGCAGCTTCCTTTGTTCTAACCATTCCTTGGAATTAGGGTTGCTCAAGCAGAAAGGGCTGTGTTTCCCAATGAATGGGGTTGCATCATAGGGCATCTTTATTACAGATGCCACTTGTTTACACATTCACTGGGACTCCAGATAACATTTGTTAGGGAGTGGACCAGTGTTTGGGATTTCGGTGAGAGGAGTCGGAGGTTCAAATCTACCTCCCATAATTAATATCATGAAATAATGATTCACTATTTCAGGATCTGATTCCCACATGCATGTCCGTCAACTGATGCCTGGACACTTGGGGTTGCATCCAGTGCTAATCCCGCCCAGAGTAGACCTGTTGAAGTTAATTGGCATGGCTAATGTATATCCCATTAATTTAAATGGGTCTCCTGCAAGTAGGACTTAGTTGGCTACTACTCACAATTGCTGGCAGCTGAATGCGTGAGCAGACACCTCACTGAAAAGCATCATATCTGGTGGGGGGAGAGTAAAGGTTTATTTTGAATGTGTTTCATCTTAATGGTTTATATCCCACTTTTCTGTAACAAGCGCAGTTAAAGTAGCTAACAAAACCAAAATATAAACCATGAGATAAGTTAAAAATAAGACCCTTAACAGGAACATCCTACACAAATGCAGGCTCCATCAGGGTTGTCCCATTCACCTGCATTTCCATCGCTTGCTGTTACACCAATCAAGTGTGAAGTTTGTGTCTGCTTTTATGAAATCTTGGGCCTGCTTCTCACTGAGGCGATGAGTTTGCATATAATGCTAATCTGTGGTTGAACTTTAGCCATAGTTAAAACAGAGGTGTCTGACAGATTATCACTTAAACCTTGGTTTGCTATGTTTCCACCTCCTGCTTCCCCCTTTAAAGGAGACCCAAGCTGGGAAGAGGCTTTAAATATATTTTTTTAAAATGATATTTATTGAAAATTTTTTAGAATTACAGAAAAGGAACACAGCAGAAAAAGAAAAAAAAGAAAACAAAAAGAAAACAAACCACATCAAACAATGTAAATTCAAAAAAACAAAAACACACCACAAACAGATAAAAAACAAATCCATCATTCTCGAATCCTCAACTTTCATTACCTTCTTTCTTTGACCTCCTCCTCCTCCCTTTTTTTGTATCCTAGTTATTAATTATCGCAGCAAATCCTTTCCATATTTCATAATATTCTGTCATTACATTACCTTAATCTATTTTCATCTTATCTTATAGAAAACCTTAAAACTTAAAACTTAACTCTTATTTTTACCAACTTCTCATAACCATAATATTCTTACCTAATTCTTTAGACATTTTTGCTAGAGCCAAGTAATTTCGTTCCAACATTTTTCTAACATTCATCAATTTTATAAAACAATCCTAATAATAAAAAGAAAGAAATAAAAACGATCCAATCTTCATCCAGTGTCCCTTCCTCCTGGTTCCGGGTTTCGTCAGTCCTCTTTATCCCATTGATCTAGCGCATTAACCTGGTAACCTTATATCCGAGGCCCTTAAGTCTCTTCCATGTCCCTTCCGCAGCTCTTCTTCATATTCTCCTTTCACACATGGGAACTCCAGCTTGGTAATGTTTTTGACCCTTTTCAACAAATCAGCCCCTTTTCCAAAGTCCAGACTAAACTCCATGTGGTATTTAAAAACATGTTTCAGAATCTCTCCAAGATTAAGAGCCCCCACAGCCCCAAACATCTCACGGCCCATTGCCAGACTTGGAAAGTCCAAACATCCCTGCATAGGGGGGTCTATCCAACCCCCCATTTCCAAACCAGTCCAAACCTTATCTTTCCAAATCTGGCTTTTTCCAAGTTCATTTGTCAAATCCAAAAGCTCATGTTCCTGCAGGGCCACAGCTCCCTCCATCTCTGGCGCCCAAGATTCAGCAACATCCTCTTCTCTCTGTTCTGTCAGGGCACACTCCTGGTTTAATTCCTGGGTGGGCTCCACATAGTTTCCCACTGCCTGTTCAAAAATTCTGACCGCATTAGTCATCAAATCCGTATTCTCATTTAACTGTTCCAGTAGGGCATTTGTTTTACAGAGAGCACACAACAGAGCTTCTGAATACATTGTCCTACAAGGTCACAAGTCTATTTCCCACGATTGTAATCTGTAACAGCTGCAAGTTCCCTGGAATTAGTTACAGTTTCACAGTCTCCCTCTAGGGGGAAAACTTCTATTTGTTCTTTCTTTTAAGGACAAATCTAGCAACAAAGTTTCCTTTTTGAGATATTTTGTCAATATTTGTTCCTTTAAAATGCGAAAGGGAACAGTGGAATCACTATGTTTCTCTTCTTTTAGCTATCTGTCAAAAGCGTTTGTCTCTGGTCAATGAGCTTCAAACGTCAGTCCTGACACCCCGCTCCAGGATCAGGACGGTGGAAAGTTACTTTACTTTAAACTCACTTCTGCAGGTTTAAACAGTCCGAAAAGATCCCCCTTCTTCTCCTGCTTCCGAAGGGGGATTCAACAATTTTAAATGATGAAAGTTAATCTTTTAGAAGCGATTTTCTGAGCTCTAGTTTACGTTGTCTTTGCTTTATTCTGTCTACAAAGAAACGGAAGGCTGACTTCCTGTTTAGACCTTCCCGTTTCAGTGCCAAATTGAAGTAAATTTTTAAGTCCAATTCCTTTCTGCTCGCAAGTCCTTATTTAAAGTCCAATTGTCCGAAATTTAAGTACTCACGGGTGATTATTTTAGAAGCCAAATTGTCCCAGGAAAAGGCAGCGCTCTCCGGCAACGGCTATGCGGCTTCGCTCCACGGAAAAAGCAGTTGACTCTCAGCACCGCGCCACTTCCCCCTCTTCGCTTCGGAGCCCGTTAGTGGGTTCCTTTGCGGGTTGGGGGGGCGCTAAGGGTGCCCGCCGAGTCCCATGGTCACAGGCTTCATCCGCCTGTGATTTTTAAAAGGGTCCCCGCTTCGCCGTAGCGGAAAAGACCTATTTCGCGCGGAGCTAGTCCCTCCAGATCAGAGGGAGTCCGCCATTGCCGATGGCGCCACCCGGAAGTCTGGGAAGAGGCTTTAAAGGAGACACAAGCTTGCTCAAGGCTCAGCTTTTATATGGCCACAGCTCTTTAACCATCATTCACATGAAATGCTCCATGCACATATGATCCCAAGTATCTGTACAGCAACTGTCACAAGGTGCAGCTCCTCCCACATTAAAGGTGAGTTTCCAGTCCACCTGGTGAGTCAGGTATGGGGAACCTTTGGCCCTCCAGATGTTGCGGAACTCCATTTCCCATCAGCCCCTGCAAGCATGCAGCAACATCTGGAGGGCCAAAGGTTCCTCACACCTGCAGCAAGTCCATCACTTACGTGCTTAACCACTACTTTATGCCTGCTCCATCGGATGGAACTCCTGCAAAAAAAATCTGGACCCCAGTGCCTTTTAACACCTGGTGACATAATTTTAACCCTATATCTGAAAGGAGATTTGTACTATAAATCCAAAGCAGATTCAACACACATTTAAAGCACACGACTTCCCTGGAAGCTTCCTAGAGACACTGTAGTTCCTCCTCACAGATCTACCATTTCTAGCACCCTTAGCAAACTACAGTCCCCAGGTTTCCTTGGGAGAAATTTGTGTTGAGTATGCTTTAAATCGGGGTCGGCAATGTGCGGCCCACGAAGACCGGTTTACTGGCCCACGAGCCGCCCCCAAACCGAGCTGCCTGCTCAGCGAGCCCCCCCTCCCCGCTGCACTAAACCAGCGCAGTGCTGGGACTTGCCGAGCGGCACCAGAAACCGTGTATGCGCACGCACAGGTACCGAAAATCACGTCTACGCATGTCCAGATGCCGAAAATCGCTTCTCTGCAGGCGCAATTTTTGGTGTCTGGGCATGCACAGAGTGATTTCTGGCGCCACGGACATGCACAGACGCAATTTACGGCATGGCGCTGCGCCAGTCTGGCCCACGGATGATCTCTGTGGGAGTGATCCGGCCCATGGCCGGTAAACCTTGCTGACCCCTGCTTTAAATGTATAGTGTGGAGCTCCTTTCAGTATCTTGAGCCCCTAATGTCAGGGACAAGTAACAACTCCCCTTTAAGCATAACTTGTATTTTTCACTTATTATACATCATGCAGGACTGTTAAATTTTGTCTGACAGGCTGTAGGGTAGCAAAAGCTACTGAACGGCCTCTGAAGACCCTACATGTTAATGTATACTGTATTGATTTTGCAAGGAAATGTTTACAACCAGCCTATTATGGCAATGCACTTCCTACGTGTTTATTCCGATACTTCATTTCTGGTTTTGGTGTTATGTTTATCAGTTTGCATGTTTATGCGTATGGCTGTTTGAACAATTTTTTTGTTGTTGCTGCCCTTTTTCTTTTCTGAGGCTTGAGCTCAAATTAAAGCCAGCCTGTCTGCTCTCTCCCTCTTTGTGATGCTGTTGAACTTACGAAAAGCAAAATATTCTGTGGGCAGGGCGGCGGAATTAAGCACCGGGGAAATTTTCCGCCCCACATCACTGGGGCCCCCTGAAGGTGCCTTGCCCAGAGCCCTACCCCCTCCCACCAAGCACGCATGCACACACACACACACACACACACACACACACGCTTGGAGCCAGCACTGGATAGACTGTCTAATCTCACAATGGATCTGTCTGTACTAGAACAGGCTGAAACGCAGACCGCATTTTACCTTGTGAATGGGAGTAGCAGGTTGTGCCTGCAAGTCAGGCATTAGGATCAAGGAGTGTGTCCCTTAAGAGGTGCACCAAAGCCCCACTCTAAGCATAGTTGTTCCAGAGCCCTGCTGAGTCTGTCCAAAAGAATTTCGGCTGTCATGCCCGGCACATTTCCTGGGCTTCTGATGAAATAAATACACACACAGAGGATTGTGCTGTTACTGTCAGGTAAGTAAGGCTCATGGAGGTCACT